AGGCGGTTAATAACAGTAACAAAAACAGAGTATGAGAGGAGGCAAAAGCTTAGAGAAACTCAGTAGCTTGCTCTTCGGTTTGTACCCGCAGGTACAAGTCTCCAAAAATGTTTTTGCTTACTTTTGCCATTACAAAGAGAACCTACAGTTTTAATCAAACTCATTCAGCCACCATTGAAAAATCAGGTTTATTGTCAAAAGGTAAAGACTTCTTACTGTTTGCAATGAACAAATCGAACAAAAGCAATTGAAATTGCTCAACAGAACACATCTTTCAACTGGTTTCCCCAAATTCAACTGAAAATGTAACTTAGAATGACTTATCCAGTTTAAAAAGGATTTAACCCCTTTATGACAAGCAGCTTTAGTACTAATCAGAGACCCTTTTGCTGTTATGACCTGCTGTAAACAAGATGCATAGTCCGACACCAGCTTATGGCAGCATTCCTGAAGAATCTTAGCCCTCTTGAGCAATGGCCTCCAGTTTAGTAATATTCTTGTGTTTGCATGCTGCAAACACCTTCACATCAGGTGACTGTGACGAGCACTGTAGAATATTCAATTAATTCTTCTGCAACCAAGCCATGGTGGAATTTGAGGTATGCTTGAGATCATGTCTTGTTGAAAGGTGCAATGACGCCCAATCTTCAGCTTCCTTACAGACACCATGATGTTTTCTCTTAGGAGTTCCTGATGCTTCAATTAACCAATCTTGCCTTCCACATGCTGCAGGTTTCCAGTGCCAGAGGATGCAAAGCAGCCCCAGGCAGATTATTCTTTTCAGTGTATGCTTCATCCTTCTTCTTTCAGACATACCACTGATCCATTGGGCCAAAAAGTTCCAGTTATGTTTCATTGCTCCGTAGAACAGAATCCCAAAACATCTGTGGCTTATTTATATAATTTTGAGCATATTGGAGACAACGTTTCTTGTGCTTTTGGGTCAGTAGTGGTGTACATCTTGGAGTTCTGGCTTGGAAATCTTCTGCATTTAGTACACGTCTTACTGTGCTACTGTGTAATAGAAACCACAATGCCTGTTGATATCAAGTCTTGCTGTGGGTCTTTTGCAGTCACTCCAGGGTTTTTCACAACCTACCTTCTCAGAAATCTGGTTGCAGCCGTTGATAGCTTTTTTTTTTTTTTTTGCCATGTCCAGGTTTTGTAACCACTGTTCCTTCAATTTTGAACTTGCAAACTATGCTGCCAGTGGTGTCTCTAGGAACATTCAGTTCCTTCGCTATCTTTTTGTATCCTGTTGCTTGTGAAGGGTGATGATTTTCTATCTTAACTTTGTGGCCTATTCTTTTAACTTAGCCATATTTCTAATACGCAGTCAAATGTGACACTCAACAAACCCATAGCCAATTCAGTTATTTCAAGTGGTACAACTATTGAAGTCCTTGATTAGTTGCATCAGCTGTGCTTGAGATAATACTTATTTTGCATATTTATGTTGTGAGGGATTCTATTCAGGGATTGAACAATTTTGAGACTAGAGGAGTCATAGCTTGCATTTTCTGTTGAATTGGGGAAAGCACTTGAAGCATTCGTTGTGTTAAACTATTTCAACTGCTTTTGTTTGATTTGTTGCATCATTTTGATTACAACTGTATACTATTTGCATATCAGAATGACCCACCCATAAAGGCCGTTCAACACCAAAATGCTCTGCATGAGAAATCCAGCAACCTCAAAAGATCGTTTTGACCTTAATTTGATACCCCTCTAGGCACATTGAGTAAATAGTCCATATCAGGATTACCCTTTTAACTTAGAGAAAGCCCAAGCAAATGCATTGCAACAGAAACCGGGAGTATGAGTTAATAACAGTAGATTTAACTAGATTAACTGTCAAAGTTATTCCTAATTGTTCCTACTTTGCCTTAATATATCTATTGACTGGGTTGGAATTTCAGTGAAATTACAAAATTTCATAAAAATACTCACCTTGGAGGGTGTGTGTGACAGTGCCTCTTTAGTTGCATAACATGAGTCAAGCCAGATAGTTAAACTGCAAACCTATATGTATCATGACAGATTTTAACAGAAAAAAATGTGTTTAATTAAACAAAGTGTGGAAAAGGAAAACCAGTCAGGCCTCCTAAAGGACACAGGAGAAAAAAAAAAAAAAATAATTGAAAAAAAAAAAAATACAGGTCTTGAAATATGGCATGTTCTGGTTTTGGTTAAAGAACATTTCCAGCAGTTTAAATAATTGAGATATTAAAATGGTGAAATTCAACGTGGAGATAGGCTTATATTTCAGAGTCTACAGGATATCATTTCTTGCAGTACACCTTGATTTTTTTTAAAAAGATTTCTGATATGTAGTCAAAACCTATACTGTTACATTAGGGAATACTTGAAAGCTTCTTCTATGGAAAAAGGATACAAATGACACAAACACCAGGTGTCAGCAGTGCTGAAATCATATTTTTTCCATTTTAGTTACAGACAGAATTAAAAAAAGTTTACTCATAAGTATGTTCCTACTTTTTTGGATTAACCCTTTGTAGGGTTAGAGTGGAAATCTCACCATCTCTGGAAAAATTTTTTTACAAAGTATATTACATTGCATCATTATTGGGTAACTGTACAGGTGGAAAGACACTTGCAAACCAGGCACAGCCAGGGTACACACAGCAAATAATGAGGAAGACAAATGGTTTATTTTTGCTCTTCTCTATATGCTATCGTGCCGATCAGATGCAAAGGACCAGTTGTGGAACGAACATATAAGAGGGCGTTGGTGACAGATTTATTTTTTTGTCCCCCTCTAGTGCAAGGTAGATTCTCAATTGTCATACAACTCCCATAATGCTGGGGATCTACCATTTGCCCATACATGCAGGGTTGTATTTGTAAGCACAGTGTGTTTGAATGTAAGCATGTTTTTAATTGGAGTATGTGTGTGTGAATGTACAGGTGAGTAGTGTCAGGAGTTTGAATGCAGAGTATGTTCGTGTATAGTGTGTGATTGTAGGAGTGTAATTGTATGTAGTGTTTGAATGCTGTGAAAGAGTCAGAACTGCAGCCAGTACGTTTGCACAGAAGCCCGCATGCTGTGCTGGCCCATTGAGTGGCCCATGCACTAAGGCCCACCTAACATGTGTCCTGGTCGTATGCGTAGGTCCTTTAACAGTACGAGAGGGCCCCTGTAATATCAAAGCGTTAGAAGGAAGTGACAGCTGTTTACTTCCTCCAAATGAACAAACAAAAAGCCACGCAGAAGAGAGCGGGTAGACCAGGAGAGCAAGTATGTATATCTTTGTATGTGTCATGTGTCTGTGCATCAGTATGTCTGAGTATCCACTTGTCTGCATGTGTGGCAGACAGATAAAAAAAAAAAGAAATAAAAAAAGCAATTCTGACACTTTGGAGTGACCACAGGAAAGTATAAATTTGAGGTGGTTTTGGATAGTAATGTAACTTTAAACTAGAACCAGAATCTCCTTTTGGGAGAGTGTGTGTTATAAAAGAAGTGATTGTAGTGAAAACTGTGTATAGCAGCTCTGTACACTAATGTGGATTACCCTTTATTCCACATGCAATTAATACAAAAACAAAAATTGGTATACAGCTTCGACAGCTGACTGAGGAAGCTCCAGGAGGAGTGAAACACGTTTAGGCCATCAGGACTTCTAATTTTTAAAAGTTTATCTTAATTATTTTGTAGATCTTTTGCATAATAAATAAACCAGATTTTTAACAAAAGTCCATTGAAGCCGCAGTTACCTTAATTGGGGGAAGTGCCATCCCCCCTATATTGGCACAAAGCCTACTACCCTCAGAGCCAGGTCCTTAAGGCTCTGAAAAAGGTGAGCTTAATACCTATTCTCATTTATCCAAGATACTTCTTAAACAACTATATTACACATTGGATGTTTCTACTGTTTTTATCTTTCCGGAGGAAAAATCTCATCAGGAAATAGTGGTGGGATGCTGTCCTAAAAAGCATACCAGTCCTGTTTACTGAGCCAATAGTATAGGCTCTTTAAAATGTGAGTAACCCATTTTTATATTTAACTAAACTAACAGAGTGTTTTATAATCTGCATTATATTGTATTTTTCTATATCTTTTATATATCTACTCAATATACACGATTCAATCAAGATTTTGAGGGGTAACCCCCTAAATACTTATAGCGCTCTTGTTTTAGTAATATAACTTTAATTATAATTTTCATAGAGCAGATACATGATATGCATTGAGAGTATATACATTTAGGAACTATCACTTTAACTGTTTAGTTTTGACACAGCATTTTATTTTTATTGCGTTTATCACATTAATTTTGCAATATATATATACACACACAATGCTCTTACAACAGATTATTAAAATACACTTTAGCTTATTTAGCACCAGCACTATTTAATTCGTGTCCCACGTTGGAATTAGTGTACCAATGGGGTACTGTAAAGTAGTTGTGAGCTTAACAGAATATGGCCAAATGGCAGTGGCGGGTCCAGGGGGGGGGCAACGGGGCAATTACCCTCCTCCCCCCGAGAAAACGGACAGTCTCCCTCTCCCTCCCCTGCCAGTGTCAGAGATCTCCCTCCCCGGTCCGCAGGCACTGTGCTGACAGCCGGCAGGGGAGGGAGAGGACCCGCGAGCTCAGCCTGCAGCTCCTCCGGGTCCTACTCTCGCAAGCACGGAGCGTTGCCGTGGTTACCACGGCAACGCTCCAAATCTCGCGAGAGTGAACACTAGCCCTGGAGCGCAGGCTAGAGTTCACTCTCCCCACTGGGACCACCAATGAATCCCCCATGGACCACCAGGGATGGAAATATGTCCCCCCTCCTCCTCAATAAAGGTAAGAAGGGAGGGGGGACATAGAATATTTATTTTAATAAATAAATAAAAAATTATGTTATAAAAAAAAGCCCCCCTACCCTTATCACACACACTCTACACACATACATTGCCCCCCATACTGCCCCCATTAACACATACTGCCCCAATACACACACACTGGCCCCCATACACTGCCGCCCCATACACACACATTGCCCACACTCACACATACACTGCAATACTCACACACATACACTGCCGCCCTCACTCACGCACTACACCCCTTACACATTACACCACTGCTCCTATGCCCTACTACAGCCCCATTTCCCAGCAGACCTCAGGTAAGTTGTCAAATTGTTCTTAAACGGTTTGACTACTTACTCTGGGAGGGGGTCCCAGCACTATTGACACCATAACCACTACACCGAGCTGTAGTGGTTATTGTGTCTGGATTATTTATTTAAATAATCTACAAGTGCCCCTCCCGAGATCAGGCTCTGGATCCGCCACTGCCAAATGGTGTAGATGAATCCCCACATTTGTTTGCTGAGATGGGCAATTTTAAGTAGCCTGGTAAAATTTTAAAATGTATTTTATTTGTGCGCCGTTCCATAATCTGTATTACAAACAAAAACTTATCTCTGAAATGTAATTAAAACCATCAGAAGCAACCCAAACCCACACATGTAAGAGGGAAACTCTAAAATGTCTTTGAAACCAAGACCACCAAGATTGGGCTGCTTTATTACTCTGCTGATGAAGGTGGAATTAACATGCTGCTGGAGATGTAGCTGTCTGCCATGTAGTCCTTAAACCTGATAAGATAGTCTTTTTTTTAATTTGGCAATCAAGAATATGTTGGAAGGAAACCAGGATAGTTTTACATGGCAAACGTGTGTTATTCACGGAACCCAGGACTCTTCACAACTGCTAAAATGTGCACCAGTTCATTATTATTAGCATGTATACAGTGCCAACTTACTCTGTAGCGCTTTACTATGTTATAATAGAAATGGAGGAATTTCACAACAGCAAGCCATCTCTGGACCAATTTGCCTCCAAAATGCTACCTCTGCATTTGGGCTTTGGCTGCAATCATTATATATGCTGTCTATGGTACAAGCTGTAAGAAAAGGTTTGGGGTCAGACAGGACAGCAATTATCCATTGAGGAGGCATGAGGTAAGAAATCAATCACACAAGGAGAAAAGTGTCAAGAAAAACATTTGAAGATTGAAAATTAAGTTAAATGTAAGCAAACAGGTATTCTTGAGATGATCCTCCAAAAATGTAATCAGCAGGGAGTTCTGGGTGAATCTTTCTGAATATTGTTTAGGGCACAGGCTCTGCATAGAGCTTTGGCTGCAAGGCTTGTCTGCAACAAGTTGTGGGCGAATCTTTATGAATGCTGTTGGAGGTGTGGACTGCTTCAATGAGCAGTAGGCAGTACAAATGCAATTAAATTTGTGAGCATGTGTGCAAGAATGTGTAAATGTATGTGGGGCGTGTCTGTCAGTGATAGTTTCAAATAAGTGAGAGTGTGTATCTGTCAGAGTGTGTCAGTCAGTGAATGTTTCTGTCAATATTTCAAATCAGTGAGTGCGTGCATTAGTGTCTGTCAGTGAGAGAGCGTGTGTGTGTGTGTGTCTGTGAGTTTGTTTCAAATCAGTTAGATTGTTTATCTGTCAGTGAGTGTCTGTGATTGTATGTGCATATCTATCAGTGAGTGTGTCTGGCACTGCATGTTTGTTAGGGAGTTTTTCAAATCAGTGAGAGTCTGTTCAAGTCATTAAGAGTGTGTCACTGTGTCTGTCAATGAAAGTGTGTGTTTGTGTGTGTGTCTGTCAGTGGGGATGCAAAATACTGTTCTACCCCAGGCCCTACATACAAAGTGGACATGCACTGCACATAGGAAATGACATACACCCCGGGTCCTACTGCGCATAGGAAATTAAAGTTTAATTTAAAAAAATGACTAGAGCACTGCTGATATCTACTGATGTCATTTAGATAGCACCTTTTTCTTTGTGGGTTTGTCTGTATTACATTGTGTGCATGTCCACTTTGTTTTACACAATGTTTTAGATGCAGTTTTTTTTTCTCTTTTTTGTTTTCTATATACCCTCACCTGTGAGTTTGGTTAAGAGTTGCTGTTTTTAAAATAATTGCATCACTGCTGGTGTCAAAATGTGTCAATCAGAGATATCCAATTATTTACCAAATTGTGAGTTGATGTAGAAACTGAAAGTGAAGGAATGCCTAAGAATAAGTCTGCTTTGTAATACCACATTGGATGTTTTCGTGCAGTCTTATATACCTATAATGTGCATCAAACTTGGCTTTAGGTGCCTACATTGAGGTTAAAGTACATTACATACTTTCATCATACAAAACGCAAAAAAAAAAAAAAAAATGGTTTAAATGGTTATAATCTCATTCAGAAAATATATTTATTTTTTTTATCAGGAATCCAGATGTAAAAGCAAATGGCACAGATGGTTGTTTACAACTGTGCAGTACAACAAGAGAGAAAGCTGCAAGTTTTGCTTAAATAAAGGGACATCAGCAACATAATTTTAACAAAGAGACTACACATTTGTTTATTAATGAAACATGATTGTAAGCAGTATATATAAGGAAACAGTGTAATAGTTATGTAATCTTTCTAGCATAAAGATTTTACTTGTGAGCATAGAAACCTTTATTGCAGGACTATAGCATTTACAGGTTCCTTCAGCAGACAAGGATTGTAGGGGCTGAACGACTGATGTTATTTAAGGTAAAATGACAGCAGATCCTTCCTGTTTGACAGTGCGGCCTCTCTTTAAAAGAAATACAGATGCTCCCAGATACAAACTGCAGGGTAGCTGGCCTCGACGAACACAGGGTCTAGCCTCCTCTTCCAAGCAGGGTCTAAATTAGAAAATAAAGAAATTGTTAAATTAGTGGTTAGCAGACAATAGACATATCATTTTGGGACTTTGGAAAGTCCCCCATGGGCATAGAAGCCCAAGAAATCATGTTTCCACAACTATCCCAGAGTTACCAACTTAAACACAAACAGGCATCATCATTCCGACTTCACACACAAATATGTTGAAGAAAATAATTTTTTTGTTACTGAAAGACTATGAAGTGATCAATAAATGTAATTTAGAAAGGCAGTATAATCTCTTAGCAATTTATTTCATCAGGGAATATCATTGGCTAAATAGAGATTCCCAGTGCAATATATTCCTTTCTTAGGCACTACCTGGCTTATCTTATTAGTAAACTGCTCAATACTTCAATAACATTGGTGATTAAAACTATGCAAGGTTTTTGTTTTTGAGAAATAATGTTTATTGGAAATGTCAATACAAATATTATACACAATACACATAACCTTAGCATCAAGAAGTATACATTTAGATTATATGGAAGGTCTGTTTATCCTAAGCAGTTCAAACCTGGCACAATGGCATAATATAAGCACACTACTGTTTTTTTTTTTTGTTGTTTTTTTTTTAATTACGTTTAAGAAATTTTCTCTCTTGTCCTCTCATCCAACCTAGATTTTCTGTGGCTGTCCAATCACAGACTACCCAATGCAGCTCACTGATAATTCTTTGCAAGGCAGATGCTCTGGACAATCGCTGCCAGTGAGCTAACTAAACCCGGAAGAAACAGGTCCAGTTGTCTGATTGACAGCCAGGGGGCTGTAATAAGGCTCATTTATAAAAGCATCAATTTGCACTTTTGATAAAATGAAAAGAAAAAAAAAAAAAGGAGGACACACTTCACACTATACAGTGAAGTGTTTTAGTGGGTTGGAGTGTCCTTTTAAGTAATTAATAGCAATATCACCAATCAGGGTAATAAGCTGTATAAACTGATAACTATTGTCAGTCATCAAATTGGCTGTCGAGAATTCTAGAGACTCTGAAGTGGTCCACCTGTTTTAAAAATCCCATTTATGTGAACCTGACGAAGGTTACCTGGGTCACATGCAATTTTTGTTCTGTGTGTTATTCATGTGTCAATGCTGATGCTGGCACGGCTCCATTTTACTACTCAGGTTGTGTAGCATTCTCTCCTCCCTCTGTATTTTGCATTATCCACATACATTTTGGACAAACCGAACCCTGCTGATTCTTACCCAGTGCTCTGTTTTGGTTTCCTTGTGATCCCAATAATGCCAACATATTGTTCCTGATTTGATTCCGTGGTATTTGAATCAGCTTGCTCTTGATTATCCTGTTTTCTAGCTTGGCATTTTTGATTCTGTGACTTTTGTGCTCCTTTGATCTTGGCTTGTTTTTCTTGACTACATTCTTTGCCATTTCAAATTCTTTAGGCATCGCATTAAAACCTGTCACTCTTAAGTACTGGTGGTACACATCTATTCTCTATTTTGGTCTCTTCCTTATATTCAAGTCTGCTTGAAAATGGAAATCACAGGGCTTGATACAGAAATCCAGTCCCAAGTGTTGCAAAGGTAACTCTACAAGTGACTATATCTCTGGCTTCACCATTAGGTCATGTTAACCAAAGGCAAAGAGTTCCCTTAGATAAAGAATATAGGTCTTAACTTCCCCCATAACAGGATATGTCATGAAAAGGGCCAGAAATTGGTTCTTAAATGGATAATTATTTTGGTCTCAAATGATCTGCACAATGAGTGCACTGACATTCTCAGTAAAAGAATAATTACATTCTGAGGTGCCTTGGCATACCTCCCAAGTGTCCTATTTTGGGCCTAGTTGACATGATCCCTCTTTTCTATCCTAGTGTCCCTATTTTCTATGAGCTTTATGTTGTTGGTGTGTCTGCATGTATAACAGCAATAATACTCACAGGTGTCTATAAAATACAATAGATGTGTTCAGTAATCAGTCTGTGTAAATAATATACTTGTTCTAAATTACAATTTGGTTGCATAAATTGTCATCAGTAAATCACCTAAACATTCTCAGAACTGCCCAGACTCTTGCAACACCCCTAAAATTCAAATTTCCATTTGAAATATTTGTAGGTATGTTTTGGGGATTATTGGATAGATTACGTCATGTGAACATGTGAGACAAAACGTGCAAGGACTGGAAACAAATTTCTTGCCTTATAGGTTTTCAATTGAAATAAATGTGTCTATTTATCTTGATTTTCACCCTATCAACTTGAGTGCTGAAGATCCCTTTTTATCTGCTTCTACTGATGATTAGGGTCTGTGGTGCTATAGCAGAGTTAGAAGGTTCAGTGAACTTTAATTCCTGCTCCATGGGACAATGAGACTCGCTAGTTTGGAGTCTGGTTGGATCCTACTTTTAGCTTTTAAAAGATTCTTAGCTTCTGTTGCACAGTATGAAAATGTGTACAGGTACTCCATCCATTGCTGCCAACCTCGTTAAGGAAAGTGTACCAAGGTGTAGGTATTAATCTACACTTTTGATGATTATATCCGTGACTGACTGAAGGTAGAAAATATAGATGACATGTTCACTTTAAGTATTTAGAAGAACTACAACCTCATACACTAGGCAAGTCAAATAACAGGAATCCCTTAAGAAACAAGAACCACCGGACTCTCGCTCTGTAGAACTCTTTCATGGGGACTACCTTTAATCATTGCATCACAGGCTTGCCTTTCGTCTTTATTACATATAAGCAAGTGTGGGTAATTGATTCCATTCTTCTAAATAGAATGTTGCTCTCATCATGGATATTTAAAAACATGACAGGGGCAGTCTTTTTAATGCTTTAGTGCTCTCTTTTAAATAAATTAAGATTCTTTTCAAAAAGGACATTACATCATCATGTACATTTCTCAGATCAATGAGCACTCTGCCCAGCCTAAGAAAGATTCTGGAGGTTATGAAATAGCACCACATAACGGACAACTGTGTAACAGTTATCATAAATCATGCATATCATAATCTTGGTTTATTTACAAATCTGTTTAAAATATATTAGATGTCCTTCCATATTGCTCTGTTTTTTTCCCTTTTTTAAGCAGATGAGATTGTTCAGTTGCATATATAGAGAAATACTGAATATTCCAGATTTCTATAAATATGCTTCTGAAGAGATTGTGGGCGGATCTCAGAGAGAAATGAAGGCTCCATTTTTGTTTGGTTTGGAATATATATATAAAATTCCTTGATGGAGAGCACTCACAGGACTCGTAATAGTGGAGAAGATGCTTTTATTTCAGCAATCAATTCATACATCAAACTTGTCAGCGTCGACGTTTCAGTCCAACCGGACAAACAATAAGTGATACCATGGCAATTTAAATACAGGAAAACATGGTGCTCATTGGAGGGTGAACGAGATTAGGTGATGTCATAAGTGATGTGTGCAGATTCAAAATACCTTATTTATCGGCGTATAACACGCACTTTTTCTCCCTGAAAATAGGGGGCAAATTGTGGGTGCGTGTTATACGTTGGCCCTTTAAATACTGCAGCCGCCTGAGCGCTCTGTCAAGAGCGGTCAGGCGGCTGCAGTTGGTAATACCTGGCTCACGCTGTGCTTAGCCAGCCGCGGCCGGGAGGTGCACGCCAGTGTAGCACCTTCCTGAAAACAGTTCTGACCGCAGAACAGAAACCCTGTTCCTCCGCTGAACAGGTGCCTTCTGTTTCCTGTACCCTCGTTGGACTCCGACAGGAAGGTGCATACTGAGCTGCACCTTCCTATCACCGCCGGACACCGACAGCAGAGCAGCCCTCGGCCACACTGCAGGGAAGGTGGGGGTAAGAAGGGGCCAGGAGGGGAGGAGGCAAGAAACAGGGAGGGGGGGAGTAAAAAGGGGGAGTGGGGGAGCAAGAGAGGGGGTAAGAAGAGGAGGGGGGGAGTAAGAAGGGGTAAGAGGGGAGGGGGAGTAAGAAGGGGTAAGAGGGGGAGTAAGAAGGAGGGGAAGTAAGAAGAGGGGGGAGTAAGAAAGGGGGGTAAGAAGGGGATATAAAAATAAGTAAATACCTTTTGAGTTCACTCCTGGCTTTACCTTGTTGTTTGGGACTCCCATTGTCTTTGGTCAGAAATACCATTTAATGCAACAAGAATCATACTGATAAGCAACAGCAAAGATGCTTTTTCAACAAATCCTGATGTCATCCATAAGCTTCAGATCTTGCAAAAATAAACCAACCAACTACACTCTTAAGCTTTACATTGCACATGGTCTTCGGTTACATAAACTGTGCTATTGACAATCAAGGACTTACAGATGGTTACACACATGGACCAAGGGTAAGCCAGGTATTTACTTGTATGTATGCATTACACACAAATCCGTAGAGGCTAAATACATATAACCTTTTATTTTAAAACCTTAATAAAAACACATTTTTTTATTTTTTTTTAAGAAGAGGGGGAGGGCAAGAAGTG